TGTTTCCTTCAGTTATGAACACCATTGATAATGTAATGAAAGCTATGGATTTTCCCTTCATCTGTGTGCATATATAAACAATTTCATACAATTTTACTTTCTTTTGTTTCTCCTCTTTTTAATTTAAGTATAGTTGGTATACAATCTTACATTGGTCATATTAGTTTCAGGTATAAAATAGCGTGATTTCACTTTTTGCACCTTACAATGCGATCACCCCACTAATTCTAGTAATCATCTGTCACTGTGTAAACTTATCACAATATTCGTGACTCTATCCCCCTTCCCCTTTTCACCCACTCCTTTGGTCTCTGTTTCAATTTTATTTTCAAGTTTAGAGGTTTGAACCATGTGATGCTCATTCATGGATCATCCTTTTTCTTCCCCAAGTTTAAAACTACTACTCTAAGAAATAGAAGTTAGCATTTCAGGAAAGTGAACATTGATAACCAGAAATAAACTGGCAATAGCAGACAGAAGAATGAATAGAAAACCAAAAATTGTCGCTGTCCTGTCTGCACCGCCTTTGACTGTCTCTCCTCTCATTCAGCCCCTTTCCACCACCTTCCAGTTCATGTCACTACAGAAAGATTTTCCGAGAAAGAGAAAATTAAGTTCTATATCTGAGAAAGTGACAGTGTGCTATGATGGCAGATATCATCTTGGCTATCATTGCCGAGTGTTCCTGGAGAATAGATGTCTATTCCAGAAGCCTTGGAATACATTCCGAAAGTTACAACAGATTAGCCCTCTCTCACCTTGCTCACGCTCTGAAAGAACTATGATATCTCCATTCGCTGGCTATCAGTCAGAATCAGAAGGAACTTTTAGACCCATAAAACGAAGTATGCCAGCAGCAAAAGTGCCTGAGTGCGTCCTTATGCACTTGCCAAAATATTGAAGTTCTGAGCCCCAATTTAACTAAAATACATGTACAGAAGGTATGACTCAATAAAATTTTGAGGCATCCTGGTGTATTGAGGCAGGAAAATTCAGGGAGTTTGTTATCAGATGTATCTGGCATCAGATGTTATAAATACTATCTTTGATGCACTAGGGTTCAGATAAGATTCTTCATACCTACTTCTCAAAGTTATGTAAGAATTGGCGATGATGCTAAAGCATGCTGGGCATAATTTATTTATTTGTCCACTTATTGATCCATTTAGACAATACTTATTAAATAGCCACCATGTGCCAGACACTGTTCTAATAACAGTGAGGGAGAAAACAAAACACAACAAAACACCAACTCATCACCTAAGAACAAATCAATGAATAACATAGACAGGAACTCATGGGGGATATTCTAAGAGATTCCATGATGGTTTTATGGTTGTTAACAGATCAGCTCATCAGAAATGTATTTGTTTGCTGGCTGCTTGCCTTTTCAAAAGCTACTAATGCCAGTGATAGCCTACTGCTGTTAAATATTTTTGGGTTAATATAAAATAGTCTAAAATAAAGTTCAATAAATCCTGCTAATAAAAATGATCTAAGTTCAGTTTAGTGTTATTGATAAGCAATGGATAGTTAAAAAAAACACAGTCAAAATTATGATATGGCCCCACAATTCTCAATTTTGTTTTTCAGTTTCATGCCTTAGAGCAATTATTTCTAATTAGTAGTCTCAAGAAATAGAACAGGCCACTCTCATAGAAATCCAAGCATGGCCCTGAAATTCCATTCCTTATCCCAACACCCAGATATGCTTTGCTTTTCCGATAGAGATGTGTATTAGCTTTCAGCTTCCCTTTAATCCACAATAAATTGTTAAATATTAGATTTTTCAATCGTATTCTACTTTTATTGGTAGAAAGGAAAATACTTTAAGTACATGCTATAAGTGTACTCCTAAAACCTGTGAACTCTCCAGAAAATTTTATATCATTTCCATGAAATAGTTGTCCAAATACTTAAAAAATTAATCGCTGTCATAGTAGCTCATGGTGGGAAATCTGTGTAGTTTTCATTTACCACCTACTCAGTGTGACTATAAAATCTACTTGTGTGGAGGTGTACTTGCTTGAATAAACCCATTCTTCTTCTTCTAGTGATTAAAACTACGTGTATTCAGATGTTATTACATCAATGAAAATTTCAGCCTTTTTAACATGGGTACCTTAATGCATTTTAATAACCTGAAGTCCTTCGAGTGATCTACTGGGTGTCTATTTTTAGATAAAATGACGAGACAGTGGCCATCCACACTAAAATAAAATGAAGTGTCAAAAATGGTTTAAACCAAAGTCTTAACTATAACCAGTTCATGAGATATTTGGACGTTGATTTAAAGATTTACCATTTCATCAGTTTTTCCTCAACACATCATACACTGAGTATGATGCGAGGTAGACAATACAAATACTCCTAATAAGTAATAATGAAGGAGCCATGGACACCAATCTTCTCCCTTGGCTCAAGGCCGTTGTTCTCAGATGTCAGCATGCATCAGACTCACCTAGGAGACTCTTTAAAATGCAGATTTCTCGGCCCCACCTTAAGACTTTCTGGTTGAGCAGGCTTAAAACGCTGCATGCCTAACAGAGTTACAGACTTAAATAAATGGTGGGAAAACATGGCCATTGTGGGTGTAATGTTTAGACCAAACTTCTGAGAGGTGCTATGTCAGGTAATTATACTCCTTTACTTCAGGTAAGCTAAATTATTGCATCTTTTGTGTTGGTCCTGGAGGCTTAACTAATCAAATAACTCATGCGAGGGCCCTCGCAAGCATGTATGAGTCTTTTCTGTGCAGATTACTTAGTAATATTAGGAGAGGTATTACTTGTAGGCGCTCTAGCCACTAAATAGACTATAAGAGTGCACTTGGTTATAAATGATTTCCACCGCAGAACATCAAGAAACCCTCTTTTTCTTTGCCCTTATTTTTCACATGTGCTTACACACTTCAGGAGTTACTTCTTCAACAGGTTCCCCTGGAAATAAAAGTCCTTTTGAAGCAAAATTGAGCAGAGGGAGAAGGGGATGGCACACCTAGCTGCTCACGAGGAACTCCCTCTCTATCCTTTATTGACTCAAAGAAGGTTCTCACCCAATTCTCCTGTTAGGTGTTTGCACCAAAGTGCCATCTGTGTTTCACAGCTTTTCCCCTGGTACTTTTATTCGTTCATGTTTATAAAACTGCAACCACAGCGCTTAAATGTCAAGGCAAATATACTAAAGGTTTAAATACAGTAAATATAATGGCATTTCCATCTAATCTGATGATGTCAGGGTCCTCTTTGGGTAACATCAAAGTCATGACACCTGTCAAAGTGCTAAGTCATAAATAAAGGATAGTGAGCCTAATAAAAAATCCTAATAATAATGATGATAATGAACATGCTATCATTAATTGAGCATTTGCTATAAGCCAGACACTATATTAAGAGATGGACATGAATTCACATCAATAATTAAAGCAACTGTATGAGAAAGGTACTCTTTGTGTACGATTTCAGAATGCCAGGAAACTGTGTTTCAGAGTTCCTAACTCCCTCGATGTCACACGGTGAGTAAAGGGTGAGATTCTGTAATACCTTCTGTCAAGAAAGCTTGATTTCATTAAGTCCACACTTTAATGACTACCTCTGTCTTAACCATGAGTTATATAGTCTGTGCTACTTTTTTGTCATATTGGTTTTTGCTTTTTTTGGGGGGGGGGTCATATTGTTACTCAAGCTAAGTACAATTAGAAACCATTTCATAAGGTCCTTAACAAAAGCGAAACACCTACAAAGAGGGGTTCAATTTTAAAAATGGAGACATAGAACAGAGAGGTTATTTCATTTATGCCTCAAATAACCTCAATGCACTGCTTGTCATATAGTGTGTGCTTGACACTATGCAAATCTCCACAGCTGCTAAAAATATTCTGAAACCGTGCTTCTCACACCTGTTTAGGTGATGAAGTTACAAGGCAATGATGTCACTTTCTTAAAAAGAAGCGACCCATTTGTTCTTTAATAAAATTGGCAAAGTTGAATGGGGCATAATTGTTCAAACAGACATGATATATTAGTCATCATCATCCCATCCTCTAAGTTTCATAAACGTGAGAGCATTTCCCTGTTCATTTTTTTATGGTAAATTTGATATCACCTTGACTGTCATGCTTCATAGGCATTTTTTTTGTAGAAATTATGTTGTAGTTATTTCTACGAGAAGTATAAGCTATCTTTTTTTCTACATCAGCTGTTGCCCAGTGTTTCATATTGAAGTGATTGATATCACAGCATCATAAATATGAATTATTAAGCTAATTCTCTGACATCTGAAGAAATAACTGAGCACTAAGTTAATGCAGCTTTGCAAATGAAACAAGCACATCCAACCGGCACCAATTCCAACTATGTGTATCTATCCAAACAGCTCTCTGCACAGTGGTAATTCTTCTAATCCCTATAATTTATTCATCTCAGGATACACTCCAAAGCATTGTTTATGTGTATTATCCACTAGCTTTGAAAACAGTATTCATTATTGGGTGTGAAGAGATGCAATTCCTCAGAAAGGTTTGTTGCAATGGTGTTTGTGCCAAGGAAAATTCTACTTGGCAAACACTTGCAACCTGATGAGTGAAATTAAAGAGGAATTGTGAGGATTCAAGATTTAAGTCTTTTACCTCCAAGGTCTTCCCAAAAGCCACGCTGCCATCACTGTAACAATTCCAAATCTCATTCTAGATGCCTGTATATACTCAAATTGGAAAGAAACCTGCAATTGCCCAGTGGAATTTTCATATATTCTTAAATATGCTATTTCGAGCCCCAGACACCAAATAGACAGAAAGGTAATGACCTTAATTTTCATCAACTTATCAAAGCTGAGGTTTTAAAGTAATAAATGTTTCTCCTTATTCTTGGCACAAACCATCCATGACAATTTAGAACACTGAAAAAGATTCCTTGGATCAAAAGGGATGCCACTCAGCTTTTAAAGGCAGTTCAAATCCTTTGAGGTCATCGGAAATGCTGACATCAAGTTTTATGTTACAGGTCATTCAGACAGTGAGTGCCATGGACAAAGATGACCCCAAAAATGGACATTATTTCTTATACAGTCTTCTTCCAGAAATGGTCAACAATCCGAATTTTACCATCAAGAAAAATGAAGGTAAATGTATTAGCATGTGAAACAGGGTAAAAGATAAGTTGGAAACTAAGATATGAGTTCATATGATGACTGAAAATATCAATAAAATAATTTTTCTTCACCTATGAGCAGTTGAAATCCAGCTTATGAGCTTAATGGAATGGATGTTAACATCACTTCCTCTTTCCAATATTGAAACAATAGATAAGAAAATGACTAATGTGAAAAGTTAATTTTATCCCAGGGCATAGCTCAATCTCCTTACTTTTAAAAGTGAACAGTAAGGGTTAACCCTTGTGAAAGTTTCGGGAATTTTGAAATACTGAAGTATCTGTTAGAAGAGGAGCTGGCTTATACTTTGTAGTTGCTATGTTTTAATTGACTGTTCGCCAAGTCTTTAGGGAAAGCCTACTCTAATTTTGCCTGGTTTGTGGGTACACATTAGAAGTATTTGTTGTAATCCTGTACCAACGTTAACAATAGAAATTAAATCAGAAAATCCTTCTTGAAGGACACTCCTTATCATTATTATTTTGGAGCTAATATGAACTGATTTTATTGTTAAGTTTTTCACTCATGGAGAACATTGAATGCATTTCATTAATTCTTGAGAACCGAGCTTAGATTAACAGTTTCCCTTAACTATTGTCTATTACATATGAAGGTCATAGATCATTATTTAAAAAGTCTATCTGATGTGTTCCTTTTTGTTTTCTAAGCTGCTGTCTACTTAACAGGGATTATTAACTGTTTATTTTGGCTCAGCTATATTTAAGTCTTAGTTTCAGCTGTTTTAGAATGATTAGCAAAATAAATGTATTGTCTCAGGCTGCCTTCTGGCTTTATTACATGCATTTGTTTAGATGTCTGAATGGTCTATATAAAAGCTATGCTCAATCAGAAAAGTAAAATTTGGTTTATGGCATTTTTTGGGGGGGATGGTTATTTGTTATGTTCTGTTTCTAGGAGGTAGTGAATTTTGACACAATTTTTTTAATGAAAAAAAATAACATTTTATGGCTCTTGTGAGATATATTATGGCCTTACCCTTTAACATAATTCCACTTAGTTCTTTGAGGATGCTTTGATAAACGTGAGGCATCACAGAAAAGGAAATGAGAAAGTCGTTATGTGGATATTACTCATTGAGCTGGCTTCCACTGTTATAAATACGAAGGAGACAAAATCTCGTTCTTTCTCCTTAGTAAAGGAGCACTCATTTGTTAGCCTCCCCTAATTAAGAACTCTCATCCAAGTACATTGCCTGTGTTTTTCAGTTAGCGTTGCCAAGATTTCTTTTTTTACGGAAGTCACATGGCTATGGCTAAGCCGAAAGCTCCCTCCGAAATCCCAAGCTGAGCTGAAAGTCTGTGCATAGAGTGGTCCGTGCTTATGTTGCTTGTGAGCTAATAGGTATCTGTCATTATTTTTGCATGTAAAATGCCTCACATTTTAAAATTCTCTGTAAAGAAATGTTTTTCTATCCCAAATGTCCTGAACTTTTTGGTGTTTTCTATGTTTCTGCAATTTCAAGATGTGCCTGTTAGAGGCATGGCCTGTTGAAGCCCCTATATTAAATTAACATGTTTGAATGGATGAGAGGTTGTCACTGGGCACCAGTGCAAGTAGTTTTCTACTAGATTCATTATGCTCTAAGCCTTTAAAGAGGACATTTTAGTCCTACAGTGGATGGGTTTCATGTGTTTGCTCTAATTTTTGGAACTAGTAGAAAGTAAAAGGTTATATGCTTAGGAAGGCATGTTTAGCCCCATCACGTATTTCAATAAACACCATATAATAGAATATTTAAAGGCATGTGGGTTATCTATTTTATTTTAAAACTAGAAAATGGAAGTTACAGTTTTGACGTATCTCACAGGTGTGTGTGTGTGTGTGTGTGTGTGTGTGTGTGTGTGTGTGTGANGAGAGAGAATTTACTAAAAAGCATGCCAGGTATTGCAAAATTACTCAAGGCAGAAAGAGCACTTTTTGTGCTATGATTCTTTATTTTAAATTGTGTGTCTATTTATTTTACAAACAATGGCCGTGTAGTCTATTATTTCAACTGGGATACTTCTTGAAGTGAAAGGGGTTGCTATTGACATGTACGTTTATGCCTGGAAAAACCATAAACCAGGATTATCTTGTGGAAATTAAGATTATATGTTCACTGTGATTATGAACTTAAGGTTCAAGTATCCAATATCTCCATATAATAAATCATGAACCTACAGGTGTTTGCAATAGATATGTCAAGTTTATACTCTATCTCCCTTTTCCTGCTCTAGAAATTCTTGAGTTTTGTTCTGTAGACCACTAATTTTTGGCATCTGGATAGTTACTGTAAAAATAAAAAAGGCAATTTGTTTCTCCCTAGCATGCAGAAATAGAGTGCTGAAAAGAGTTGTCAGATTTAAAATGTTTGAAAAATATAGATAGGTAGGTAGATAAATAAATAGCTATCTTGTAAGCCTGTTACCCATTCCTTATTATTAATGATGACAGAACATAAAATCAACCAAAAATAACCAAATAATAAACATTTTTATAAATTTAAAAACTATGGTATATTTTATGTTTCAAACACGGAAGGGATCCAATGGTACAATATATTTAAAAGAGTTTGTTTTCTGCTTAAGATTGACTTTAAAATGGTCAATAGCTGATGCTTCTCCACTGAAAGCATCATGATTTACAAGTCCCTTCCCACTAGATGAAGGTTAAGATTTTGAGCTAGCCAATATATTCAAATCCATAAATGATGGATGGATGAGCCTCCTTTTAAATTAGAACTTTAAAGGAGATGGTTTCAGGATTTGGTGTTTTCTAAGGAACTTGCAGCTGTGTCTTTCAACTTGAAGTTACTATGATCTTCCCCTTCTCTCATATAGATTGGTCCTACTGCAATTTTCAGCCGACTAATTCAAAATCAAAGACAAAATGAGATAGAAATTAGCTGTCTCTTATCTCCTACACAGTTGAGCGATTTCACATATAATTCTCTTTCTGAATATATGAGAATCATATTTCTGCCAGAATAGAAAAGCAACCTTCAATATGGATAAAGGTGAAAGCAAAGGTCAAAAATGTGATGAATCATTTATAGCACATGTACATACCAAATGATCACAGCACCTTGAATTTTCTAAATTATATTGCCCAGGCATTGATTTCTCCATCTTCTAGTTGGGTGAATTTTTAAACAAAAGGAGTTTTGCTGACCACATTTCAGTATTGGTTTCCATTCCAACCGTGAAAATGGAAGATACCTAGCAATTAAATCTAACAAGACAGGAAAGATAAATGGACCTTTTACAGATACAGAAATATCTTGCAGAAAATTTGAGGTCTGCAGAAACCTGACCTTCTCCAGCCTGCGTGTTGTAGGTAAAAAATTTGACTGGATTTGCCAGGAAGCAGTCTGGTGAAATGGGAGTGTTCATGTTTTCAACAAAAGTATGTTCATCAGGTTTATAGACAAATGAGGAAAAAACATAAAGCTCTGCTCCCTAAAAAGGGCTGTGGGAAGAAAAGAAGTACATAGTGAACTTGGCCTCAATTGTGGCTTAGGTAGGCTTCACAAAAGGCAGCAGGGGGACTAGGGTACCTGGTGACATGAACATTCTTCTTCTCTTCCTGATATCTCCTTTTTGACCAAACTCTTATTTGGCAAGAATGTCATTCTGAAGGCATAATTGTGGTAATTGATTTGGGTAACGTAGATGTTGACTAGAGCATTGGAATAAACGCAGCTTGGGTTATCTCAAAGTACATAATAACATAGTTACCCCATTTAGAATATAAATGCACCTTAGGTTATGTCAATTGTATGTAACATGGTTACCCATTTAGAATATAGCTCATGTTTTGTTTGGTGGGGTTTCCGTTTCAACTGGTTGGTCAAGTAGTCTGGGGTTTGTGTCTTTTTATTTTCTAGAAGCATCTCTTGTATGGACACTGACTACAGGCAAGTTATGGTAAGCTTCAGTTTCCTCATCTGTAATAAAGGGTAATAATATCTATTCACCCCTGTGATGGATTTGTGTAACCTAGGGTTGAGACAGCTCTTAGCAGGATGTCTGGCACATAGAAAACCACTCATCAGTAAATGGGGCAAGATACTCGTTTTATGAATTCATTATTTCCTGGATTCGCATATTATGTTCTACCTCCTCTAGCTTGCCATTCTCAAGCAGGTCTCTTTGTGGCTTTAACTCCATTGATTTTTGAATGAGGTACAGTAATTCTGAAAGAGGGCTCATGAAAGCCCTCATTCTCACCAGACTGCACTGCAAGAAATCTGCTTAGCAATGTATTTCAGTCTGAAGGGTTTTATAATAGGAAGATAAAGGAAATAAGAAAGAAGGAGAAGGTGGGGAGAAATAATGAAAATATTTGTCAGCCACAGAAATAGCTGCAGGATTTCTGGATCTGGTTTTGAATATGAAGGCTTTGTTTTCGTCCTTTGCCAAAATGAAACTCAGCTCTTTCCACATAACGGCGAACTCCCACTTCCAACTTGTTAAGACTGCTTTCCATTCTAGCATATCAAGTTGTTTTGAATCACCCATAACCTTGCAACACACGTACTCTGCGGGAATCATTCTGTATAAACATTAGACAGCCTTCCTTTGCTCTTTTGAATAAGGTCAACTCATCTCAGATTCTTCTTATCACAAAACTACAATTGGCTGCTTGAAAATAGAAGTGGATGTCTCTGATCCTAAGCCAGCTGGAGCTGACCATCTGTCCTCCATCCTCTCTCAGGCTGAGTCCTCATACCTGCCTCTCCTGCATTCAGGATGTAGGCGCTGAGGCAGGTGAAGTCCCTCTCGTGCCTGCCGTAAGCCAGCTGTGCCCCATCCAGGCTGAAATGGACCCGACAGGCCTTCCTAATGATTCACACAGCAAAAAGGGCCCCCTCGGTAAGCCAGCTGCCTTCCTGGCCACCTCGGAGCTCCTTAAGTTCTACCATTAGGCCAGGCTTCATTGAAGCTAATAGAGAACTTTCTGAAATAGCA